TTGTGTATTTAACTCGAATCATTGTGTATTTAACTCAAATTTTGCTTCAGTAGGCTCCATTCTTAACTATGAGTCATCCTTAAACCGAGTGTTCTTAACCCGGGGACTACCTGTGGCTGGATAATATCTTTATATAAAAGCTGAGTAAAACATGGGCTGAAGTAATAAAGAAATCAGTCACAGCAATTTTTTGCAACTTAAAGTTACCTTATTCCAGCAGACTTCATTTTTCAAAATGATTTACTGAACATACTTCATTTACTCTTTGAAATAAACAACTAAAGAGTGATTCTGTCCAAGCTGTCAAAAATGTGGTGGAGATTATTAATATTTCTAATTTGCCCAATAACCAGAATTCTCTGAGCCAGTTATACAGTTGCTTAAAACGTGGCGAACAATCAAATAGTAAAATGAATTAATAAATAGAACAGGAATGATTTAATGAAAATCATACAGAACCAAAATCTCAGCATAATATGAGCACTTAAAATCAAATGTTAACTATAAAAATATTTATAGTTTTTATAACTGTATTCCTGTAGAAGAAGAGGAATGTCTTAACCTGATGCTGATAACACTTTGGTGCAGGTGCCTGGTGTGCTATCCTCAACAAAGCTTTTCACAAGCAGGGGTTTCCCTGCCTTATTTCATGGCATGACACCTAGAGGAGAGCCTCTAAAGATGGCTGAGCATCCTAAGGAAACATCAGTTACAGGTAGTCCTCGGGTTGCGACCACTCATTTGATGACTGTTCAAAGATACAGTAGTGTTAAACAAGTGGTACTTATGACTGATCCTCGAAATTCCGGCCGTTGCAGCACCCCCATGGTTACGTGATCACAATTTGGGCACTTGACAACCAACTTGCACTTACGACAGTTGCAGTGTCCTGCAGTCACATGATCATCATTTGCAACCTTCTCTGCTGGCTTCCAACAAGCATAGTCAATGGGGAAGCCAGCAGGGAAGGTCACAACTCACTTCTGTAAGTTGCTTCCACTGCTTTTTTTCCTGAGGAGACCCACTACAGAGTATGAGATCCCAGGAATCTTGTACTCCATAGCACCCGCCCACAGCACCCACCCATGGCCTCCGGGAGCCTACCTGCACTTCGTAGCTCTTGCCTGTGGCACCTGTGCACCTCCCTCATGCTCCTTGTCTGAGACTCCCGCCTTTTCCCACTTAATGACCCCTGTGGTCCTGGGGTTACAATGATAACCAGGACTGTGGTTGTAAAGTGTGATGTCACGCGACCGCATTGCTTGCCAACAGAAATTCTGGTCCTAATTGCCGTCGTAACCTGAGGACTACCTGTATTCTAGCCCAAGGGATTCAGCAGCTGATAAATCACTGGCTCATGATTGCATATTAAAATTAAATAGCTGGTTGGAATTGCTTTAAGTTACATACCTATAGAAGTTTATATATTTCCTGAGTAAGCATGTATGTAACCTGATTGCAATAGCATTTTGGACATACTACTTTATAACAAAGTCAAGCTGCTATACCATCCTTCCCTAACGTGGGTGGGAAGTTAGTTGAAGTCCAGATATCAGAAGATGGATGGATGGGGGAAGGTTGCTTTCTACAAACTAGGAGCATAACTCAAAGCCTTTATTCCTGTAGGTTGTACAGCTTGCTCACAGACTTCTATGCTGGTTTTCTCTATATGCATGCAAGGATATTATGTAAATTCACATATTTGAAGGCTAAGACTGTAATCCTGTGAACATGCATATGAATTTCCTGTTGAATAAAGCAAAACACTTCTGAGTAAACATGCATAAGATTGGGTTGTAAATGCCCCAGTCTTTGTAGAAGAGCTGAAAATTCCAGGCAAATTGCATGTCCATAATGTGAGATGAAAAGAAAATGTCTGTGCTGTTTGTTTGCTATTTATTTATTTGCCATTTCAGTCCAAGCAAGGAAAAGAAATCTAATAATTAGGATTAGGAAATTCATAGAATTAAATTTACAAATTTCATAGGATCAGATGTGCAAAGGAAACCATCCTTGCTTTTTCATACAACTGGGTTAATGCCTTGCATTTTACTGATGTAAAGAAGCAGTGCCAGTTTTGGGAAATGTAGCCTGATCTCATGCAGTGAGCAACATAAGACACCGAGATTCAGCAGCAGTAAAGTATTATTGATTTCAAAGTTTGTGAAAGAAGAATGTCAACGCACATTCACACTCATACCAACATACACACCTGCCTGCAGTTGAGATGGCTGAGCTCAGCCTTGGTTGGAGAAGACAGCTATGTAGCACAAGTGGAGGGTCCAGACAATGGAGTCTTCTAGCAGAGGCCTATACAGCTTATTTTTTAATCTTTTGCCAGCATTGTCCATTGCACGTTCTTTGCACATCACCTCAGCCTTTTGTGGACCTTAAGTTGCAGAGTCAGATGTGACTTACTGCACGGCAGTTAAAGGTTAATGTTCTTATCACTGGTTGCTGTCCTCCAGACCCCTCTCTGGTCTGACCTTGATAAATTGCTTCCGAGGTTCCATGCATAAGTGTGGGAGCTTAGTTTGTACCCAGATACAGATGCCATTCTCCTGTTTCCAAGTGGTGATAAACTTGTTTTCTTTTCACATTCCACTTGCCTATTAGCTTAACTATCACTGGTGCCAGGTTGCTTGCTGTCTCCCAAAGTTCAGGAGAAGGTGAACCAAAGTTGCCTCAGCCATGCTTACAACATATGGATAAACCTGGCATATGGATAAACCTGGCATCATCTAAAAGAGGTGGAGCATATAATCTTGCCATTTAAGGTTATGATTCAAATGCGGAGGTCTACCTACCCCTTTCTGTGTTACTCTGGCTTGTTGTAAACATGCAGGCATGCTGGTACATGCTGCTTAGTCACTCCTGCTGCACCTCTTTTGTCAGCAGGAGCAGCTGAACAAACAAACTGTGAAAGTCCCTTGTTTAACTTCACGTGTGTATCAGGAGCTCACCTTGTTCCTTACAAGCTAGAATGAGAAACCAAATGTCTGGCTGCACAGAAAATTGTACTCAGAAACCAAAATATAAATCAAAACCTGTTTGAAAATTCAGGATTAAACAGAGCAAATAATTCTTTTACATAAAATCTACTTCTGGTTGCTCCAGGCTTTCTTTATTGAGGGTAGGGGCTGCGTTGGTGGGAAATCTTTTGTCTTACTGTTTAAACAACTGGGAGTCAGAAATCCTTGCAGAGCCATTACAGATCACTCAATACATGTGCTCATGCAGACACTAGTTAGGTTCAGCTTGAAAGAGAAATAGGTTTACCATACCTGTTCTACTGTGCAGTCCCAAATAATGACTACGATGAGTCAATGGGCTAATGTAGTATAGGAACTTGCTGCTTATTCCCCTGCTGAAAATCTGTTGTCTTTTCTTGTTTCTCTTCTTTTCCCCACCCTTTTTCGGAGGAACAGCAGTATTTCTGCCTGCAAAGCAAATGTGTACACAAGACAGCTTGACATGTACATAAAATGCTGCTTAAACTCTTGAGGTTTGAAAAGGTTGAAATATATCAGCAGAACAGTCTGGATATTGCTGTAGGATGAAAATTGTGGAAGGAGCCTTTTCTTGAAATCAATGTGCATTTCTGAGGAAACGGGTGGGGAATGAGGCAGATCTGCTGCTTCTCTGGATTATGGTATTTTTATTATTAAAACTTGGGCATGGTTGAAGACAGTCCAAACCTTTAAGACTTGCTCTTCTTGGATTGTTTTGGAAATAGTGCATACTGTATATCCTTGCTGCTGTTAATCCAAAAAAATTATATAGATGTAACACATTTCATCTGAGTTTCTTTTTCTCTTTCCCTGCCCCACACATAGTACAATGTGCAAGCTTTGTGGATTGTGGAACCACTTCATTTGATGTGTGACACTTCATGCAGTTACAGAGTTTAGGACAGTATGGTCAAAGAGCAATGGTTTCCAACATAAAAGGGTTTATCCAAGAAGTTGACAGTTATTCCACCTGTGGATCCCCAGAGACCAGCTAATTCTCTTGGGTGTAGAGACTCTGTAGTAGTGTTTCTCAACCTTGGCAACTTGAAGACGTGTGGACTTCAGCTCCCAGAATTCCACAGCCAGCATGCTGGCTGGGGAATT